CGGTTCTTTTTATCCACAATCATCTAAATCTTTCGAAGAGAACCTGTTACTTAACGATACACATGACCATTGATTCTGCAACTGAAGTGCGGGTACACTAATTTACACAGTAAACGCGAGCCAATCGATTTCAGAGTGCAACTGAGGGGTAACCTAAAGGAGCGTCGTCTCAGAAGACGTAATTAGCTTAGCTAGCTAGCTAGCTAGCTACCAACAGACCAATCTTCACAACCAAGAAGGCTAGCAAAGTTATTAGCATTTAGGTTACTTGTTAACCTTCTTGGTTGTCCAGATTGGTCTGTTGGTAGCTAGCTAGTAGCTGCAATCGAATGCAGTGTTGCTACAGGTACAGTACCGAATTCGAAAAGCTTGCCGATTAGAGTTAGTGATTTGTGGGATTGGTTGAGATCGGCTGGCTCTAACGTTCTGATTGGTCCTACGCGAAATCCATTTCCATGAAAGCTGCGGTACGGCGAATTGAGAATGGGAAATCAATGTTCGCGTACGCAGCTTTCTGGAAATGAGGAAAGCAAGCCGCTTTTTGCCGTTATCTTGATTTTGCGTACGCACTTTTGCAACTGAGGGGGTAACCTAAAGGAGCGTTGTCTCAGGAGACGTAATTAGCTTAGCTAGCTAGCTAGCTAGCTAGCTACCAACAGACCAATCTTCACAACCAAGAAGGCTAGCAAAGTTATTAGCATTTAGGTTACTTGTTAACCTTCTTGGTGTCGGATTGGTCTGTTGGTAGCTAGCTAGTAGCTGCAATCGAACGCAGTGTTGCTACGGTACAGTACCGAATTCGAAATGCTTGCCGATTAGAGTTAGTGATTTGTGGGATTGGTTGAGATCGGCTGGCTCTAATAACGTTCTGATTGGTCCTACGCGAAATCCATTTCCATGAAAGCTGCGGTACGGCGAATTAAGAATGGGAAATCAATGATTCACCGTACCACAGCTTTCATGGAAATGGAGGGAAAGCAAGCCTTGATTTCGCGTACGCACGGACGAAAAAATGGCTGGTTAGGAAAGGTTCTGAGAAGCGCACGTCGTTCCTGTGCTGCTGCAGGCAACTACTTAACTACTTAGGAGAAAGGAGCATTCACCGCACATGTCTCTTACAAAGAAAAGAAGGCCTGCAGTCGAAGAGTCGAAGAACGAGAGTGGCTGGGCTATTGGCCGCTGGGAAGCCAGCTAGCTAGTCGAGGCGAGAGAACATGGCCACAAAAGCTGCCACAATGCTCGTGAGGGCGACCCTTTTGCCCCCGAAGCGATAATGTGGATCTAGATCTAACCGTAGCGAAGAATTTCGATGTGGTTGCCGTCGGCAGTAGATTGTTTGCTGTTCTGCTGTCCTCGTTGCTGGACTCTGTGTAGGAATGGCTGTTTGCTTTTACCAAGAGCTCCGGACCGAAAGGGTCGACGAAACTCGCTCTATGGGAGACCACGCACTGCAGGGATCTTTTCCCGTGGCACTGGGTCCTCAAGCGCGTTAGCCGCAAAATGAAACTCGTTCGGCGGCGCCTTCTTAGCATGGGCGATATTGGAGGAACAATGAAACCAGCCTCAACAGCACGGCATGGTGGCGAGTTACCGCTACGGTATGGCCGACTAGACGACGCAACGGACCATCGAACCAAGGTACTAGCCAATTCTGGGGTTCCAAGTGCTCCAGCACGAATTCATGGGGGAATCGAATCGTGACGATGTGCATTAATTAAAAGATAACGAGCATCAATTGCATTCTTGGCCAACTGTACCGGTACTGTAAGCTTGTAGACCTTGTGCATTGCCCACCACTGCTACCACTAGTACTGTACCGTACTTTCACACGCAAGTGAGGCTCTGGCGCCCGTCCCAGTTGGAATAGTTTTCAAAAGGAGATGCCACGGGAAGTTCTAGCACTCAATGCCACTTTTGCTTCCCTCTAGATCCTGCTGCTGGTTGGGATTGTTTCGAAGCGGCATGGAAGCATGAGACGATGGTGTCGGGGTGCTTTGTTCTGGGGTCTCGATGGAATGAATCCCGGACAGCACAGAACCTGATGTACTTGTTGCTGCTAGCCCAGACATTTCAACCCAGTATGTTTGCCTGTTTCATGGGAAGAGACAGAATCAAGCAGCACATGAGGATCAAACAAAATAGGCTTCGTTGGATCTTTTCAACCATCTTATGTCTTACATTTCACCTTTGCCTTTTGCCACAATCTTATCTTCTCTGGGGACCAGCCAGTTTTGTTTTCGTGCTTTGCGCAAAGCCTCAGCAGTAGCTTCACTGCAATGGATCTTTCCCTTCACCCCATTGCTCTCCATTCGACTGGCAGTGTTGACACTATCGCCAAACAACTGTAGAATCATGTAGCAACTGATTAGTTAAGAGAAACCCAATATAGGCTGACTAGAGAATGACCCATCCATCTTACCTGGAATCGACCTTTGTCTCCACGGAGTACCCCGGCCGTAACAGGACCGCTGTAAGAGCAAAGAGTCAAGATGAGCTGCATCCCCCGGCAACCCAGAGCGAAGATACCAGCACTCTTACCTATGGAGACCAACTCTCATTTCCAATAATTTGGTGTCCTCGCCTAGCGTATCCGAGAGATCTACCGTCACAAGCTGGAACTTAGCCATGCACGAGCGGGCAAACTTGCACATCAGCCTGTGTAACAAGTACCATGGATTGAGACAGGCAGCAGAAAATGAGAAGATTCAACATTCTGATTCCAATACTGCTTCCACTTGAGTCAGCTATGAACTTCTGTTTCAAATTACTCACAACGCATGATCTTCTTGAGGCTTGGGAAGACCTGTGGAACAAGGGCGGGGGTTGAGAATGTGGGAAACATAGTTCATCACAAGGCATCTTCTACCTGTCCCCTAGGACTTACCAGTGACAGCCACATAGCAATCCCTTTGGGAGTTACAAGAGCCCAGGTGATGATTAGGTCAAGGAGAGGTACGGGAAACTGTCCTCACAAATTCCTAAACTTACCCAATTGTCTCGACTACACAGCCAACAGCAAAAGAGGAAGGATCAGATGATTTCTCACACAAGCATCCACCTTGGCAACAGTGCTACTGTGATGTACCTTTGAAGACTTTGTATCGCTTGGCCAATTTGTCAAATTCGCCGTACACCGTCTCCAACAAGTCGAACACCTCAATGGGAGTACGAGATGAAGACCATTTTGTAAACCCTGCAGATGCAACCGCATGGGAAAACACCATTGGCATTAGTGGAGATTCAAGTGAGCTCTGGGATACATGTCTACTTGTCACCATCACCTACCAGCAAGGTCTGTAACACGGGACGCAAGAAGAAACTAGGTGTTAGAAATTGCCACAATCCCTAGCGTCTGGGCCTCACAATTGTCTTACCAGCAAAGAAGATTGTTGTTTCAGGATAGAGAGAGGCAATGGCATGGGACTGTTTTGCAGCAACCGAAGCAAGATCTGCAAGGTCATCATCAGACGGTTGCTTTTTCCAGCCCCGTTGATCAGCATTCTTCTTGGCTCTTCTTCTTCAAAGAGACGGTTTCGAACCTGCAATAGAAAGTTGCAAAAGAGGTGCATGGACCATGAATGTCCAGTTGAGAAGGGGGGCAAAGGCTGTCCTGTTCTACTTGACTGTCCACATTTAAGTTACTAAGGTTAAGGATAAACTGATTGAGTACGGCACGACTGTTGAAGGCGCAGCAAAAACATCTCTCCCTCGTTGAATTCCTATTGTAAACAGGAGGTAAATTCAAGCTTGGCCGACAACAATGTTGAATCGATCGATCGATTAATCGATCGAACGACTGGTTCGGTGCTGTACGAGGTAAGCCTCTATTATCAAGATTGTTATTGAAGGTGCAGATTCGAAAGCCATCCCTCATTGAATTTCTATGGACCGCGGGAAGGCAGTCAAATCTCGGCCATCAACAGGTGAGTTGTTTTCATTATTCGAGTGCAAGTTGAGTCAGTCACACCTCTATCGGTGCCAGTACCATATTATCCAAGCTTCAGTCAAGCGGGCTGTCTCCGGTGTAGATTCAAAAGCCATCCCTCATTGAATCCTATGGACCATGGGATGGCAGTCAGTTCTCGGCCCATGACGGCCAAGTTGGTGCAATTTGAAAAGCAAGGGTAAGTCTCCGGTCTTCTTCAGTTCAGCACAGTGAAAGCGTTACAGTTCCTCCCACGACTCAGAGTATCCGTGAGTAGATTGAGTCATGCTTTATGAGTCAACACGATGGAATAGAGAATGCTGGCAAGTACACGTTCTCAACGAAACCAAAGGACACGGTAAACTGGAGTATTCGACAGGAGTAAAGCATCCTGCCAACGAACTGTTTCCGGCAGATACCACGTTGACTTCCGTATGAATCAAGATCAACTACCACGATGCATTGATCTAACACGCTACGAACTAGCTTTACTGATCGCATCATCAAAGCTCACAACACAGATTATGAATTACTAAGAAGCGAGCTTTGCATTTGCCTTGCACTCGTCTTGAATAGTTGCAGTTGATCTCGTCGGGTGGTAGCTACCTCTACAAGATCCCTCTATTCAAGTAGTATTTCCCCACGTTAGCAGATTAACTAGTCGCAGTTACGCACTGCCACACCTCCATCAAGATGGCCGATGAAGCAGCCAAGCTCAAGCATGTCCTATGCACCCTATGCGGCGAAGACGCTTCCACCACAGGGTACAATGCATCTCACATGCGCATCGCACTGTCTGAACAAGGAATTGATGGATGGATGGATCTCCTACTTCTCACCAAAGATGAAGTTATGGATCTCCAAGCTTCCAACGACACCAACGGCGCTCCAAGACCAGTACCTCTCACCAGGAAGAAGCTACTGCTCGCGGCGATACAGATGTATCACCATTGGTCGTTTAAGAAGAAAGCACATGTCCGCATCGTATCACAAACGGCCACCGCGCTCGACGCTTTCAGAGTTGGACTCTTCCAGCCACACGGCGAAATCGTCCCATGGCAGCAAATGAGACGTAGCGATGCCACGATGACCGATGGGGAGCGTGCAATCGCACTTTGGGACAAGAACAACAAGCCCGTCCGCTCGGAGTTCAGAGAGTTTCGCGGCGAATCAGCCTTCATCAAATGGAGGAGAAGAACTTCCTCAACACGCTCAAATCTCAAGGTCTCTCCCACCTCATTGATTCTGACTTCGCGGTCACCAACGTCGAACTAGACAAGAAACAATGAGAATGGATGTACAAGACCTTCGAAGACATCTTTCAAGAAGCACAGGCGCGATCTGTCGTCCTTGCCAACGAAACCGACAAGGACACTCGTGCGATCTGGAAGGCAATTGACGAATATTACTCCAAGTCCATGGTCGCAACCCTGCGCTCGGATAAGATCTCGTGTTATCTTACCTCCGCAGATATCGCAGAAGGTGTATGGAGAGGGTCCCAAGCCGGTTTCATCTCCAACTTCCTCGAACAATTTTGGCAGTACAATGAGATCAGCGACGAGCCATACACTGACCAGCAGGGAGCACGTTTCTTGGAACGCTCAATCTCCAAGGCACCAAATCTCGCTCCCGTACGACGTCTCGCACTGCAAACCAAGAAAGCCGCAGGAGACACCTCCAAGTATACACTCGAGCAATACCGAGCAGCCCTTCTCGAGCAAGCACAACTGCATGACAGTGCAAATCATGCAATGTCCACACGCTCTCGAAGCAATGCTCGTCGCCGCACCTACCAACTCGAAATTCTCTTCGATGATGGTACAGCGGAAACCTGTGACAACGCCTACGAGGCGTTGGTCCACGATATGGATACACCAGTGGAGGTCCTATTGCAAGCCCATCACACAGACACTCGCGGTCCGCGCAAGGTCATGATGAACGCAACCACATGGCGGTCGTTATCCAAGTCGGATCAAGAGGCATGGGATAATATCTCTGAGCAGGGCAAGAAGAGCATCCTTGACTACACGACTGACTTAGCTGTTTGACGTAGCCAGCACAACCCCGGGCAACCACACCCATCCCGCTCAGTCAACTCCCATGACTTCCTCAACGTGGGCAACACCACGCCACGAGCAGGCAACCTGGAAGTGTCCTCGCACCAAACCAAGTCCAACAAGACGGACACCGACCTGTTGCAGCTCGCGTGCAACAAGACGCATTCAACGCCACCGTCCTTCGCTGGTGACATCGCGTCCGTCCTATCACAGCCGCCCAATACGGCTACATGCGAGGTACGAGTTCATGAGGTTGATCGCTCATCCTACGAATCCTACTCCCACGAAATGTTGTTCAGCGAGCCAGAGATTGATCCTGACTGGCAGCCCTTCGTATATCTCTCTGATGGATCCGAGGACAACCAAACACAAACCACTCATGACATCTAAGAAGCGCATTTTAGCCACCCAATTTACCAGTGTGCTTGTGCGTGATGGTCTTGTGCAAGAGCCTCTACAGTCCGATGCAGGTGCCTACTATTAACTCAGCTTTGCGTCAAATGATCTTGATGTTGCCTATAGATTCGTACGGTACATTGCGTCATAATAAGCAAGGCTACAACTAGTGTTTACGCATATGCTTAACGAAAGTGCATGGAGAACAGAACATTCTTTACTATTAAACAAGATTCTTGTGGGTGCGCCTGCTTCAACATGCAAATGGGCACATTCTTTGTGCACCAAGCTATAAACAGTTTTCGCAATCGGCATTCATTTTCCTTATGCCCCTTGGACCTGACCGCATTCTGCGCTTTATCCAAGGCAAAAACTTTGGCCACCCTTCAAATCTTTTCCAGTTGAACAAAATAAACACGCACGATGGTCAAATTCAAGTGCCCGTACTGCTTAAAAACGTGCAAGACCGACTGGGGTTTGAAGCGGCATCAGGATACAGTTTGCCGAATCCCGCATTCGATTCAGACACGGACTGACCCTGACTCCCACGACAACGACCGTGGGGACGATGACAATGGCGGTGGTGGCAAAGGGAGAGCAAGAGATGATGAGTAGACAAGCAGTGCAGAGGAAAATAGTGATGAGGAAAGACCTAGGAAGAAGATGCACTTGGAGCCAGAATTAGAGGCCATAGAATCAATCACTGACAGAGAAGAAGAAGCACTCCAGACAAGAGGTGTTAAAAGTAGATGAGATTTCAAATAAATCTGCAACATCACTGAGTCGGCTTCACTTGCCCTATCCACCGTATCCACTTGACATTGGGAAGGGGAGCATCGTGTGATGCGTTGCACTTGCCTCAACGTCTTCCTCATGTGCTCCTTGTGTCAACAGTTCTCCGTCCCAATAAGCTGCAATACTATCTGTGGTGGCATCCACTGGTAATT